CTTCCATTTTTTTGTCAGTTTTTTTTTTCTTTCGAATTTCTACATAAATTATCTGTTTTCCATTTTCTCTAATCATCATCTATTCTCCTTCTTTTCCTTATCGTTTTGCAATTATATTTCTTTTCAAATTTCTAATAAATTTATTTTAATTGATTTGTTCTACTAATTTTTTTATGATATTATGTGGATATTTGTAGTGGTATGTTGGAGTCTTTATGTACTCTTGGTTTATAATTTAGTTCTGCTTTAAACAAGACAATTGCAATTTTATTAAATAAAGTTGTTTTCATGTTGTTTTACCGATGTTATAATGTTGCTTTGTTGTTAATATCTTGTATGTTTTTACGATTTTAAGTTAAAAAAAAAACAAATATTTTTGTTGTTCTTTAGTTAATTTAATTGTTATATATGTGTATAATCAGTTAATCATTTTTTTATTTTTTATTTTTTTGGTGTTATATTCTTTAGGCATTCATTTTGAAAAGAAGAAGAAAAGAAAAGGAAGAAGAAAAGGGAGAAGAGAGGGAAAACGTGAAGAGAGAAGAAGAAGAAAAGGGAGAAGAGAGAGAAAACATTAAAAGAGAAATAAGAGAAAAAAAAATAAGAGAGAATAAGAAGAAAAAAAAGAAGAGAGAGAACAGTTATTTACGGTTTAATTGTTGAAATGTAACTTCCCATTGTTATTGTGTGTATTATTTTAGAATGCATTTAAGTAATTTTGGAATTCTTCTGAATCAAGTTTATTTGTAGAAATAATTTTTAATATGTGGTTATCTATGTCTTTTCGCCCTTACCTAAAGCCGTGCACGTGGCCTTTCTTCTGCCAATTCCAAATGCCAACATCAGAATTTAAAAAAAAAATTAAATAAAATCCCCAAATTAATGATAACCGGCAACAAGAAGGTGATCTTTCGTCTTCGACTTATCAATCTATCATATCCCCAACTGCAAACTTCAGTCTTCATGATATTATCTCGGCTCTCATTCCAAAATTCTAACGGTAAGTTAATCAATTTTATAGATTATAAATAGTCTTTAGGGATGGTTATGTGTGGCATATAAGAGCAAAGTTAAATAGAAAATTTCGAGCACGAGCAGAACTCTTCTACTTCAACAAATCTAGTTTAAAAGGGTCCACTCCAAGAATAAAATTTCACATCTAGCTTAAATGGTAACACTGATCATTTATAAATATATTGATTAAATTTTAAATTAAATTAATATTTTATAATTTAATTACAATTCTATTGGTGGCGGTCGGAATTTTGAGGAATATCAAAAGGTCAAATCCACCTATAGAACATCAAATTTAAATTCGATTTCTAGTGTTCGATTTGATATTAGGCTAAAAATAGCCTCAAACAAATATTGGTCAAATACCAAACCTAGGCCGATTACAATAAAAAAGAACATCAACCTTTTTGAGTAATTCAAGACGTTATCTAATAACCAATTTAACATAGCGTTGGAGTCTAATTCAAAACGTTATATAAAAAAAGAACTCAAATGACCGAATTCTGTGAATACTGATGTAACATAATGTGGAGTCTGCCAATCGACCTATAAAGATCATCAGGTAGAGCTCCTCAGGGACCTTCCAAGGTCGTTAGCTCGATCTGCTGGTATACTACAACTATACTAAGTGAACTAACATAATATCCGAAAATCCAATATAAAAAAATACCTGAGTGAATTGATTAGTGACTAAAGGTCTGGCGCGAGTCAGGTCGGCGCCGGCGGCGAGTCAGGTATTGAAGAATAAGGGTCGTGAGCTTGCGTTATGTTTCTGTTAGACTTTTGAGATTTGAGTTATAGCTAAAAAAATCCACCTTTTTTTTTTAACTTTGAACTAATACAAAACGACGTCGTTTTTTAATTAATAAAAAAAATTAAGAAACCTGTAAAACAGGCGACCCGCCAAGCCCGCCTTTTACAGCCGCCTAGCCTCGCTGAATCCGTCGAGTCCGCTTTCTGTCGCCGCCTAGCCCCGCCAAACTCGCCCAGCCGCCGAGGCCTTGGCACCGAGCCCGCCTCACCGATTTTTACAGTCGATTCGACCGAATCGTAGGCGGCGTGTTGTAGTAATTTTCACCGGAGTAGAATCGAAAGATTCGTTCCCCGGGTTGTATCGCAAGGAAGGTTAGCCGGATATAATTGTTCGATTATTCAATCACAAAAGAAGATAAAAATCCTAAACACTCTAATTCAATGATTTGGGTTTCAATTATCAACTACCAACTTTAAATTAAATAAAGCACGAAATGAACAGTAACGAATTAACTGAGAATTTAAAGAGCTAGGGAATCGGGGACAACTGCTTTCGGTTCTTACACAACTACCGGCAATCAATTGCTCGGTTAAAGGAAGTGAATCGTCTCTCGTTTAGAGGTTCACTCTCAATAACTCTTCGTAACAAAAGAGTGAACATATACGATTGACTATCAAATCCAGCAACTCATAGACAATACTTTGACGAACAAGTCTATTCTAAACGAGCCTAAATCAACCAATGTCTCCCCTTTCGGTTCTAAACAATGATTAACTAGGTTATATAGGTGATCAATCTATTATCCCTAAATTAAACTCAACTCGCATAGATATGAACAATTAAGAACAAGCAATTATAATTGAACCTAATCAATTATCCCCTATCCCTAGCAGATGGATTTAGCTACTCATAATGGATTTGATCACACAAACATTCATAACCCAAGACATCATCATCAATGAAAGAATTGAAGAAAAATACTTACGATTAATGAAAATTCTGAACCCAATCCAATAGTATCCGAATCCAAAGCAAGATAATAGAGGTTTTTAATCTCTAAAATCGAATCCCAAGAGCAAAACAATTCAAAAGTGCGAAAGAAAGAAAAGGAATGAGTTTTTAGAGAGAAAAAGTGTAAAAACAAAGTCTGAAAACCGAATAATCAACCCTAGGGTCGAATTCTGCTCTAAAAATCCCGTCCTCGAAATTCGCGCCCGGCAAAGTCGCGAGTCGCGGCTTACTCGCGAGTCGCGAGATGGAACTTTTCTTCGCTCGCGAGTCGCGACTTCCTGGCGACTCGCGCGTCGTCAAAATATAAATTTCTGGGGTTGAGTCGCGAAATATCTCGCGAGTCGCGACTCAATCTCGCGGGTCGCGACATAATCTCGCGAGTCGCGAGTTCTGCTCGACACTGCTCCATAAGCCTCTGTTTTTTCTGCGGGTCGCGACATTCCCTCGAGTCGCGACCTGACTCGCGAGTCGCGAGACATCTCGCGAGTCGCGACTTTTTCTGGGCACAGTTCTGTCCGCTTTTTCAGTCCTTCCTCGAGTTTTCTGGGCTCGGTAACGGATGTTCTTGATATCACAGTCTCCGCTCACGCAATCCTAACCTCGACCGGCACAACCTACCTCCTGAAAACACAACACAGAAAAACACGAAGCAAAACACGGCAAAAAGACACACAAATATAAACTAAAGAGAAAAACACAAAACAACGAATTGGACCAAATAAACTACGAAAAACCTACAAATGGGGGAAAACGAAAAGAAAATAATCATGAAACAAAGACACAAAAATGGGACAAACACGGCGCTTCGACACCTAGCGCCTAGGGGCCGTCTAGGCCGATCTTTAGAACACCGGTCAAACCTATTTCTGGAGGGTCTTGTCTTCTGTTTTGATGTCCAATGAAGAAATTGTGTTGAATGTTTTATCGAGCGGTATCACGACACTTTTGCTGCCAAACTGGCACACTGCGCATTCTCGGTTCTAAATCCCACTAAACCCGACGTAAGGATCTTTATGTAACATTAACCAATGTAGGTTGATCGTATAGGATGAAACCCCGACGATGAATAGGTATTGCTTCCAGGCGATTGACAATACATTTTGAGCCTTAATGGATGTAGTAGATCTATCGTAGAAAAAAAATCTCATTTGGCGACAAGTCTGTTGTTTTCTTGTGGGGATTTTAGACAAATACTTCCAGTTGTCCCTAAACACATTCAAACTGATGTAATGAATGCCACGATCAATTCATCCAAGTTGTAGTGGAATTTTACCGTTACGATACCGACTCGAAATATGAGGCTTGGAAACCTTGGTGTGGGTGATGAGTACGAATAATTGAGGTGCTTCTCAAAAGGCTTGCAAGCAGTGGCGACGATACGCTCGGTGAATCGAACGATGATTGTGCCGATATCGACATTCCTAATTATATAATTTTAGAATCACAGGGGATCATATTACTGTTGTTGAAAGTACCTACCTAATATTCAGGTCGTACTTGTTTATTAATTAATTCGTTCAAAATGAGTTTTTTTGTTAACTAGAGTTAATTTTCAAAAAAGTGTTATGGTTAATTATTAGTGGAAATATAAGAATGTATTAAAATAATATTTAAAATAAAATGATTAAAATTGATTAGATAAAAAAGTAAGAGATAAATGATTGTAAATGATAGGTAGTTAAAATTATGTGAGTGGATGTATAGTGAATTAAAGTTAATGTGACGTGTAAGAATAACTAATTTATATTATTTAATTATATGAATAATACTAATGATCGTGGAGTGGAGTTAAAGTTGAGTTAAATTTTGAGTATGAATTAAATATGAGTAAATTAATTGGTAAACAAGCACCCCTTCAACAGTTCAGGCGAAGGTCTTAGCCATCCCAAGAAAGTCTTTTGTATTTTTTATCATTTCTTATCATAACTATTGAATTGTAAATATATTTTAAAAGTCTTTTATATTTTTTATCAGTTTTACATATATAATATATCAAATTAATCATATCTTGATGAACTTCGATTTAACATCTATAATGTATGCATAAAAAAAATTATATTTATCTTTATAACAATAATAAAATTGTTTTTCAATATTAATTAAAAAAATAAAATTATTTATCAATTAATATATTTATATTTCAAGTAGTTATATGATATAAGTTATAAAAATTACTATAATATAACATATGTAAGTCGCACAAGTACCGAATGTCATTCTAAAATATATAATAATATATGTTTTTTGTAAAAAAAGTAAGTAAAATTTAAAATAAATTTTTTCTCAATAATTTAAAAATTTAAGGATAACTTTTTAACAAGCACTTGTAATAGATGTTGTACTAATTCTAACATTATTTTCTTTTCCTTTTATTTTCTTACCAGTTTACAATTTTCCATCACACTTTCCTCTAACAAAATCCTTCCAAACAATTTTCTTCCCCTTTTCTCCCCTCCATTAAAATCGTTCCCTCACTTTTTTCGATTGAACCAAACATACCCTAACCGGAATCCAGTGAGCATCCACAGGCGACTCGCCGCGATGAGCTGAGCTCCGACCGACTTATACCAATTTGAACCGACATATATCTATCACTCATATACAGTATGTACATATATTTTGTACAAACGACCGTCTGTAAATAGGGAATGCAATGGCGAAATCAAGTTGCGGCACAATCGGCAGCGAAGCCAGGGAAAGCATCACGGAGAGGCTGTCTCGCATCGACGACTTGTACTTTCCCCGCAAGGTACAATCCTCCGCCGCCGCCGCGGACCCCTCCCACCGCAAAGCCCTCCTTCTCCACCTCCTTTCCTCCGACGCCGCCGTCTTTTTGGGTACTTTCTTCTCAACTCAATCTCGTCGTCGCTATCGCCGGTTAATTCACTTTTTCTGTTTGCATACTATGCAGTTTTTGCCTTTAGATTTCATCTCTTGATGCAGAGTATATTTTACAGGGTTTTGGATTGCAGTAGCTTGTAATCGAATTTACTGACGCTGTCTTAACAACTAGTACATTGAATCCAAGCCTTTAAAAGAAATGCGCAATTCTAATCTGCATCATTGAAATGGAGCTTAAAATCTGTGCTTAACATCGACTTGATAAATTTCAGAGCGTTACATATCGAAGTTATGGTTTGATGAGCTCACTCAGTTCAATTTGTTGAAGGACGATTATGAAATCTTTATATGCAACCCGATTTTCAGATGTTTGCATACTATGCATTTTTGCCTGAGATTTCGTCTCTTGCTGCGGAGCATCATTTTGTTAGGATTTCGGATTGAAGTAGCTTGTAATTGATTTTACGACGCTACTGTAACAACTAGTACTTCGAATCCACCTTTTTTTTTTGCACAGTTTCATCTGAATCTTTGAATTTGAGCTTAAATTCTGTGCTTGACATCCGAGTTGATAAATTTCAGAGCGTTACGGATCAAAGTTATCGCTCGATGAGCTCAATGAGTTCAATGTGTTGAAGGACGATTATGAAATCAATTGGCACTTAAATCACCTCCGAAGCATAATCGACCCAACAGAGGAGGAGCGGAAGTCTGCATCGGTGAAGATCAAGAACCGTAGATTGGCCTACATGGACAAGCTGATGGTGGACGGGCATTACTTCTCGGAGGATGCAATGAGGGAAAGGGATCCATACTTGCATCATTTGTATGTAGGAAAGTTTCAGGACTCGAGTGGGAGGAATATGGTGAGGCCCGGGGAGCGGTGGTCCGAGACACTCATGAGGCGGTCAGAGGAAGCCATGTTGGTGCAGAAGATCAGAGGCGAGCAGCAAAGGTTGGGTGTGGCTCAGAGTGAGTGGGTCGGGAATGAAACTGACATGCAACAACAAGAGGAGGAAGAAGAAGAAGAGGAAGAGGAAGAAGAAGAAGATGATGAAATTGAAAGAGAAGACACAGTGGAGAAGGAGACGTTGGAAAATACGGAAGGCGTGGCAGTTGACCTCCCTAATAGAAGCTCCCTGGTAAAAATTGTTTTTTTTCAAGTACTTAAAATTGTTGGTACTAATTCAATTCTAATATAGTATTATTATTATAATTATTATTATTTTGGTGGTTCTTAGTCCTCCATATAAGTGGTTAGTGGTAAGAGAATCAAGTTTGATATATGCAACAAATCACACCTTAATTTATGATCCCATGATTCATATGCATTTGGCAATAAATCATGATTACCCACAATTTGGTGAAGTAACTGCCACTAGTTTCTTGATATGTGTATAATGCATCTGTGTGTTTCTTATTATCATTATATTTACAATGTGTATAGTATTTGTTATAAGTTTAGTCAATTGACTTGATATGATATGTTTTCTCCATGAATCCTCCATTAATATCTATGTTGATTAAAAAGACTTTTAAGTTATAAGGAACATGAAAATAGAAAATGTACTGTCACTGGGCTGAAATTGTGAGTATTGTGCTTTCTTGGTTCTGTTTGTTAGGAGTCATCTTCCCATTTGCAATTTCTTTTTTCCCTGAATAAATTAATTGTTTCTTATTAGAAAAAGAATGTAATGACTATTCAGTTGATGGTATCGGATATTTATAATTTTTCGGGTCAATTCTTAGCCTCCTAGCACAGAGATGTATAACTCTACATGAACTTTTTGATGTGATTATTTTTTAAAACAATTTTCATCCTGATGAGACAATGTTCTGCGCCTTCTTATAAAGTCATGCCAAAACAAAAGCCTCATACATTGTCGTAAATTTGTTTAAATCGTGGTAGCAAGAGGAACCTGACTTACTAGATGTTGAGATCATGAGAGACTTATGTAGCTCCTCTCCTGAAGAAGTTTCTCTTGCATATGGCACGGTGGATCATTTCCAAGGATCTTATGAAAACTCGTCCATCAAATTAGAACATTTGCTGTATTTGACACAATCATGCTTTTTACTGGATACCAAAATTGGATCTGTTACTGACGACATTCTTATGTTTCATATTCTATAACGGTCATATTTGTACCTAATGTTGTTGCTTTTCTCGAGTGATGTCTGATGGGATGATAACGTGCAGTCGGGAGCTGAAGAACGAGAGGCAGACAGTTTGTCCGTGGAGGAAATGCAAGAGCGCATGGACCAATTCACTCGGATAATGCAGCAAAAGTTCTTAACAGGTGAAGATGATGAGCACGTGGACTATTCAAAAATCGATCAAAATGAGACCTTGGATGATCACTGGATGAAGCAAGCCAATCAAGATGCCGAGGAGAAGTACTTCGATGATGTTTGAGATCATGAACCCTCTCAGTTTCATTTCCGGTTTTTTACTGTATGTAAGTAGTGCTTGCATGGACCTTTCACTATGTAACCCGGATCATATTACATCATAGTATGTTATTCCTTGCTTGAGTTTGGCTAAACTATTGAAGACTACTAAATGATTGACAAGTTCATCATGGATTACCTCCTTAGTTTATTTATTTATTTTTTCCTTTGTTGGTATCGACAAGAGTGAAAGCCAAACAAACACCAAAAACATTATTGGGTGTATTCATTGTTGATAAACGGATTAAATCAACGTAATTAAGATAAAAAAAAAAAAACACAACGAGAATTGCAGAGAGTATGATTTTTATTGGATTCTTTGAGGTCGGTTACAATATCGATTAAGTCGGTATTTTGATACAGGCGGTCGGGAACAGAGAAAACTGAGGTAATAAATGAGTGAATTTAATCCCTCCCAAAAGAACTCTCATACTGTCTTTATTGCTGCTATTTATAATTATGTTCGGCACACCTCCCAAGATAAATCAGCTTTATTTAATGTAGATTTGACGGCTTAGGGGCGGCTATGACGTTGACATGCTTTTTAGGCAATGATGAGCATGACGCTCCTCTATTTGAGTGACAAGCGTCACTTCTGTCGGGCTGAAGTCAGTTTCTCCGCAACATCGGCTTTTCTATGGACTTTTAGTTTTTTATGACCTTCAACAGACTATTCTTGAACCGAGTTCCTAATACCGAGGTATCAGTGTTCTGTATTGATGATCTTTAGGGCCACTATCTGTGTTTTGGAAATCGAGGTGGCCATTCCGAGATGCTGAGCCGACGCCGAGTTTGATGCCAAAGAACTGTTTTGCGATTCGATCTTCATGATGCCTTTTATCTATCCTTTATCTATTCTGATATCAACATTCATATTTGGGATTTTAAAAGAATCCTGGTGTATTTAAGTCATTTAAAAATATTGAGATATTCATAACTGGAACTGGCCCGGCCCAGCCCGGGTTTTGGCCACGTCTCAAACTTTCCCAAAAGCCCCCACTGCAACTGTAGGAAATCATTGTTAAGCCCGCTGTCAAGTGTCAAGCTGTTGGCTCTCAAAAGTCTGTTAACTCTGTAATGGAAAAACCTAAATCTATCTCAACTGCTTGTAACTCAATCTACAATTCCTCAAACTGTTGATTTTTTTTTTTTTTTTTTTTTTNTTTCGTGGCACACGAATTACAATAACGGATGGAAAATTAACATCAATAATGGCATGGCATACAAATCTTTACAACAGAAAGGAAGTAAAATATGCCACAAACTTCACAAAAAATATACAATGTCAATCTGAGTGGAAACTATATGCTTCACGACCACAAATGGGCATTATAGATTAAAATGGGAAAACAATGCTTCATTACCATAATGGGCATTATATCAATATAACCACAAATGGTTACAAATTTCCCTATTTAAAAGAAAAAAATTACCCAGCGCACGGTCACTTAAATTTTTGTTTCCTTAGTAATAAAATGTTCTTATTAGTCCAATTAATAAGTCCGGCCACCTACCAGAAAGTCGAAACGAAACGATCACCCGTGTGGCAACATTTGGTTATTTCACTTGTATTAATAATACACCAACCTTATAGTATCTATACTAAATTACTAATACAAGGATAAATGGGGCTACCTACAAACAACTTATATAAAATTACCTTCATATCTAGAATAGAACCCATATATAAAATAATGATTTTAAATAATAATGTCTCGAGAGGTGGGGTTTAGTAAAGTTTGAGTAGGTAATAAGGTGCGATTGTGATTGAAATCGACATAAATTATAGTCAACAGTGGGCTAATGACATTATAAATATTAGTAATCAGGAGTCATATATTTCTTTATGATTTTTTTTTTTTTTTNTAATAACCAAGGCGTGTTAAATGTATAATATATTATTAAAGAACATTGTTGTTGTAAAAGGCTATATTGTTGTTATTATTGTATTATTAAAGAACATTCTGATTTAATAAAAAATCATAGCAGCGACATATATTCAGATTCTTCAATAAGAACAGGATTTTCAAGTGGATTACACTTGATTTGATTAGACACAATTTCAACAAAAACTTTAAACTGAAGAAAAAGTTCACATGGGGACATTTGATTGGGAAATTAAATCACCAATTCACCATGCATTCTGGTCATTTGATATGTAACTCGAAGTTAATTGTTTGTTACTCCGGAATTTCTAAACGCTACAGGCAGGATTTCGAAGCCCATTTTTTTTTTTTTTTACAATAAAGCCAATTATTTTTAAATAATATACTTTCATATTTATATCACATCAATTATACTTCTCTCTGTAATTCATTTTAAGTTCTAAAAGTAATTTTTCACATTATCATCTCTAAAATAAAAATAATGAAATGAGAGCCATGGAATCAGACGCCTGTAGTTGCTCGCAATTTATTTAATAACTCATAAAGCAAATGGTTGTGTGATATGATTTATGTAAATCTCACAGAATTTGTGTGAATCATTAAATGCTTTTGGTTTCTAAAAGTCATATAATATATACGAATTAGAAAACTTTTGTAAAAAATATTAAAATTTTTATTTTTTTTAAAAACTAAAATAATTAAAGTTATATAAAACATTACTTTGGGTTTTAATGAAATTGTCAAATTATATTTTTTTAATCATAATAATTAAACACTCGTACATTAAATGAAAATGTCAACCCGTGTTGAATTTTTTTACTTATATCATATAAAAATATCAATATTATTTATCATTACATAAGTACAAAAATATATACCTTAAATAAATAGAAACAATATGGTGATATGTATATGCATAGGTGTAGAATATGTTTATTTAATATTAGCAAAATAGATTAATTCTTTTACTTAATTAGATGCCTAATACATCAAGTGTCGTATCAGTCATGCTTCACTTTTTTTTAACTTTATATGTAATTTTAGAATTTTTATAAATTATTATTTATTTTTATTACAAGAGTATATACTGGGTATGTTGTTGTTGTTGTTGTAATTATTTATTTTTATTACATTGACAACATACTAATTAGATTTAAAATAAATATCATTTTTAAAAGAATACATACCAATTTCTATTACTTTATAATATAATTTATAGTTTTATTTGATATAATTTAATTTAGTTTGATAAATAAATTTAAATTTTATTTATAAGGATATATATATTAATTTTTTGTATTATATATATATATAAATAGGAAAATACAAACGGACTTCGTAATACCAATTCAAATGCAACAAACTAATTAAGATTTTTTTTTCTTCACAATATTAACCCTATTTAATGGATGTTATGAGAAACGATGGAGATGGGATATGAAGAGACACTGTGTATTGGATGGAGGGTTAAAATTGAAAAATATGAACAAAATATCTAAAACGACATTTATTTTATCAATGATCAATTAAGCTCAAGTGACAAATAATAAAAATAGGAGGGAGTATATATTATATATTTTAGTATGATACATGTTACTTGTGCGACTTATATGTGTTATATTATAATAAATTTTCTACCTTATAACATATAACTACATTAAACATAAATATATTAATTGATAAATAATTTTATTTTCTAATTAATTTTAATAAATAATTTTATTATTATTATAAAGATAAATACAATTTATTTATTTTATATATACAATATAGATGTCAAATCGAAGCTCATCAAAAGATGATTAATATGATATATTATATATGTAAAACCGATAAGAAATACAAAAGTTATTAACTTTTAAAATATATTTACAATTCAATGGTTATAATAGGAAATAATATTAAAATACAATTAATACAAATATTAATTTATATCCAAGCCTAACTCCAAAGTATGATATTTTGTCAAATAAGATTTCGAAGCATAAGAGTTTGCCACTCAGCGCATTCTGAAATTATATATAGAGAGAATTCCTATCATCCTATTGCCGAGTGAAGTTAAGCATGTACATATTTTGTGAGTTTATTCACAGAACCACTAGAAAAGTCAAATAAATTTCAAAGAAATAGAAAAGAAAAGGAATATTCATGTAGACAGTTGTTTTTAATTAAGACACTATTCGGTCACAAAAGATTCGCATCTCACCAGCATAAGCTCTAGGATTTATGGTTTTAGCTTATGGTTTTAAACTCTCGGAGAAAGAAGTTGAGAAAGTTGAACTTTCCGATTCAGACATTGCTACCCGACTTCAGGAATGCCACTTAAGCCTCATAGGGAAAAGCTACGGAGAAAAAAGAATCAACTTCAATGGATTAAAGATGACGTTAAGCAACATCTGGGTCACGAACAAACCTTTCTCAGTCAGAAACTTAGGGGCTAACAAATTTCAATTCATCTTCCAAGAAGAAGAAGACATGGAGAAAATTTTAAAAGGCAAATCTTGGTCCTTCGATGGGCAATATCTCCTTCTCAAGCATTGGAACGCAGATAACCTTAATTTCTTTGCTGAGGATGAGAAAATCCGAATCTGGGTGCAATTGCTAAACCTTCCACTGCACTGGATCTCAATCGATGCTGGGCTCAAAATTGGTAAAAAGATAGGCAAAGTTCTTGATGTCCAGCTCCCAGTGGCGGGGTCCCACAATGGCCAGATAGTCAAGATCTTCGTGGAAATCAAATTATCAGAAGCAATTCCCAGAGGCACATACATCAAACTGGGAGAGGAAAATCGCTGGCTAGATTTCAGGTACGAGAATATTCAAGGGTTTTGCTTTTACTGTGGTAAGATTGGTCATTCTAACCGTAATTGTTCCACTAAACAAGAAGACGTAGATAAGAATATGCTCAACTTAGGTCAATACGGGGAATGGCTCAGGGCTTCCAATTGGTTTCCTGCTGAGTCCAGGAATAGGTCTAGTAATCTTTCAGGGAGTCCGGGGAGAGAACAGGGGGGTAGTAAATCTCCTTTGCCCAGCTATGGTAATAGTGAGGCTGGTGAGAAAAGCAGTAAAGCTAAAAGTTCTGAGGATCCTATTCCTCAGATTTTTAAAACTTCTGCTGTCATTGAGGCTGAGGTTTGTATAGGTGGTAAATCTGGGGAAACTCAACCTGATCCTAAGGTGCCCTTCATTGACAAGGATAAGCATGTCACTGAAGCCTCCAATTCTCAACTTGTTGAAGTTGACATTTTAGCCTCTTCTACAGGCACTAATGTTGGCC